CCCACCCCCTACAGGACATGATGCAAGCTCTTCTCTTGCAGCTCACGCTGACAGGGACCAGAGGACAGGTCACTACCTAAGGTGCGGTTGCCTGTAGCTGCTGTGGGGTACAGGGAGCTAGAGGGCCTTTGACTCGGACCACAAGTCTAAGGGACTGCAGTGACCTAATTTAACCAACAATATCACTTTTTACCAGTCTTGACTTTAGAAAATACACTGGGCAGCCCATTTTTCTTTTCTTTTAAGACTTCCAAATAAACTCATTGTCAGTCTATGCTAGCATCATAACTTTAACGAGCATCTGTATTTATGTGCCTGTGGGTTTGTTTTATTAGTTGATATTAGTCATACGGGGGGGGGGGGAGGGGGGTTGATGTTACATCTGCACACGTTTGCATTGTATTCTAATCAGTCTCACTCTCCTCTATTCCTCTATTCCTTGAACCCTGCAAAGTAGCTTCTAAACTGTGCCCATATGTTTGGGGGGAATCATGTTTTTATAACTGAGAAGTGTTCTCCTTGACCTCCTCTGGGAACCTCTTCAAAGTTTCTCACATGCTGTGTACCTTCAAATTCATCATTAGTGTGTGGTGTCTGGGATAGCTTTCATCCGCTCTTGACTCAGAGTTCCTTTGGCATAGCCTTTACTCCAGCGGCCATCAGCCAGATACCTAGTGAGCACTTCCACATTTGTTGAATAAATGCATGAAGGAGCATTTTGAATAAGCCAGCGAGACTTGTGATGCTCTGTTGGACCCCTCTGGGCCTCAAGTGGGCCCCATTGGTTATGTTTCAGGAGAACTGCCTAGCAACAAAGCAGACATGTAGGGTGCTGGGAAGGTGGCTCAGTGGTAGAGCACTTGCCTTGCATGCCTGAGGCCCTGGGTTCGATTCCTCAGCACCACATAAGCAAAAAGAAAGTGGCGCTGTGGCTCAAGTGGTAGAGTGCTAGCCTTGAGCTGAAGAACTGAGGGACAGTGCCCAGGCCCAGAGTTTAAGCCCCACGACCGGAACAAAAAAAAAGCAGACATGTACAACCTTGGGCAAGAGCTCCCTCCTAGGTTTTTACCATTGAGGCTGGAGCATCTAGAAATCTGCCAGTTATTTTCAAGAGTGAAAAAGTATATGTCAGTAAGGGAGAGTTGAACTGAGGACAATTTAAAAATAAAAGGTTAGGATAAATGAATTGTTCTGCTTTTGAAAAAATCTCCTGAATAAAATGTATAGTATCTGGCCAGGGGTTGATGACTCACATCTGTAATTCCAGCTACTCAGGAGGCTGAGATCTGAGGATCCCGGTTTGAAGCTAACCTAGGCAGCAAAGTCTGTGAGACTCTTATTTCTAGTAAACAACCAAAAGAAGACAAAAAAAAAAGGCTGTAAATGGAGCAGTGGTTCAAGTGGTAGAATGCTGGCTTTGCATACAAAAACTTAGGAACAGCGCCCAAACCTAGAGTTCAAGCCCAGGATCAGCAAAAAACAAAAATAAAAGAATATGTATATAATATATGCATGTGCAAAATACCGTAGTGAATCCCTTGGTATACTAATATAATATGCAGTAAGATAATGTACACTAAGATAATACACACTAACAAAAAGGAACAGGAGAGTAAAGTGGGTTTTGCGGGGGGCTGAGTATCTGATAGGGGAAGGGTAAATGAGAGTGAACATGCTCATAGTACTCATTACGCAGTGTGAAAAGAGACCAATGAGAGCAGTGGAAAAGTGGTTTGAGAAGGGGGTGGGAAATGAAGGAGAGTGACCGAGGGTGTGAGGGTGATTGTGTACATTGTGCATATGTGGAAATGTCACAATACCCCAGCACACACACACACAAACATATCTCTTTTTAAAATAAAAAGTCTCTTGACCCTAAGGAAGAGAGAAAAAACAGATGTTGAAAAAAAACAGAAAACTGCATCAGACAAGAATGTATCCTCCTTCCTGAGCGCTTCTGTTTGAGGGGAACTTTTTATAATTTAGTTATAACAAAGGGATAGAATGAGCTGGAAAAACAAAAGATGAGCCTTCCACACTGAACTAAGACCTCAAAACTCTTTTAATTTTGTGTGTGTGTGTGTGCACGCGTGCGTGCATGCGTGTGTGCTCACGTGTGCCTATACTGGTGTTTGAACTCATATTTTTAAACTCTTGCTTTGCTTTTCCTGCTCAATGCTGGCACTCTCCCACTTGAACCACAGCACCACTTCCAGCTTTTTGATGGTTGACTGGAGATGAGAGTATCACAGACTTTTGCACCTGGGCTGGCTTTGAACCCCAATCCTCAGATTTCAATCTTCTGGATTACAAGCCTGAGCCACCAGCACTTAGTTGTGTCTGCACATTCTTAAAGTTTTACTATTTACAGGATAATAGTTTAATCCATATAAAATTTCCACAGGAAGGAAAGAGTAAACTTTGTATTAATAAAGAAGAGACAAGGGTTGGGGATTTAGCTCAATGGAAGAGCACTTGCATGGCCAAGTTTAAGGCCTGGAGTTCAATCCTCAGCTCTGGGGGGGAAAAAAGCACAAAAAGAGGCAGAAGTAAAAAAAAGTTCTTTATAAGACTAAATCTCAAACTGAAGTTGGAATTAAATGGGTAAGTAAAATACAGTTCCAAGCAGAAAGAGGAAATGATTCCTAATGGTTTACTGAATGCTTTGTGGGACTTTTATTATAATCAAAAATCAGGTTGAACTAACTAACTAACTAACTATATATATATATATATGTACATTATGTACATATATATATATATATATATATATATATTATAGTTTGTGGTTCAAATGCCTTCTGGTTTATTTGAAATAAGGCTTCGCTTGTTAATACGTGTTTTGAGTTTTCAGTAACATCTTTGCCCAAAAATAAGTCTAGTGAAGGAGGTCAAGTTTCAAAAGATGTTGAGATTCATTCCTTTTGTGATTGGCCACTGGAGCCTGTTTCATTGCTATTGCAAGAGCACCTGGCTTTTGTGAAATAGATAAAACCAAGCCAAGTACCAGTGGCTCATGCCTATAATCCTAGCCACTCAGGAGATCTGAGGATCACAGTTTGAAGCTAGCTAGTCCATGAGATTAATATTTCCAGTTAACCACCAAAAAGCCAGAAGTGGAGCTGTGGCTCAAGTCGTAGAGCACTATCCTTGAATGAAAATGCCACGTGAACACTCAAGGCCCAGAATTCAAGTTCCAGTAGTAGCTGTTGTGATAGATAGATAGATAGATAGATAGATAGATAGATAATAAATAGATGACATATTTTACTGATAATGCAAAATGTTCACTTAACTACTATATTAGAAACATAAATTGACTGATAAATTATTGAAATTCTAATATTGTAGACAATATTGTCTTGCAGTGTGATTACCAATTAGCTCATTGAAAACTCAGTATAAAGTCACAGAATCCAGTACAGTTTGGGCCTCCAGAAGTTTAAAAGCATTAATAATAATTTTATTTGTTATTTTATTTTTTACCAATTTTAGGGCTTGAACTCAGGGCCTAGGCTCTGTCCCTGAGCTTTTTTGCTCAAAGTCAAATGCTCTACCAGTTTGAGCTACAGTGCCACTTCTGGTTTTCTGGTGGTTAATTGGAGATACGAGTCTTACAGATTTTCCTGCCTGGGCTGGCTTCAAACTGTGACCCTCAGATCTCAGTCTCCTAAGTAGGTAGGATTACAAGCGTGAGCCACCAAAAGAAGATTGTAGTCATCATATATAATATTCAATGTACATATGTGAAAAATAGAACCAGGTAACTTGAGGAGATGGATGAGGTTGGGAGAGATGGAGAAGAGTGATGGAAGAGACGACATTGATCAAGATGCATTGTACTCAAACTGCCACATTGAATTAAACCCACTTTGTGCAGCTAAAGGTTATCATATATATTATATAAAAATAATTTTTATTGTGAAAATACTGTACAGAGGGGTTACAATTACATGGGCAAGGTAATGAGTACATTTCTTTTCAAGCATTGTTGCCTCCTCCTTTATTTCCCCTTCCCATCCCTTCCCATCTCCCCACACACACACCTCCTCACCACCCCCCAAAGTTGTAAAGTTTGTTTTTTGACATTACATCTTGTACATCTCATTGTTGCGATGGGTCCACCTGTATCCCTATTTAAACAATTTGTTTTTTCCCTTCCCCTCCACAAATTATACCAACATCAAATATAGTGAAAACGGGTTATACCATGGGGGAGGGACATACAAAGCAACAAAAAAATCATCTTGTAAACAATATGTTAGAACTAATAGCGAGAAAGAAAAACCATTTGAGTCCTTATCTTGGGGTTCATTTCACCTAACATCAACTTATCTGACCATTTCTGCTTGTCTTAGACATATACTAGTAATTGCAAATAGGGAAACCATGGGACCTATGTTTCTTTGGGCCTGGCTTACTTCACTTAATATAATTTTTTCCAAGTCTTTCCATTTCCTAACAAATGGGGCAATGTCATTCTTTCTGATGGAGGCATAGAATTCCATTGTGATTATAAACCACATTTTCTTGATCTATTCATCTACTGAGGGGCATCTGGGTCAGTTCCATACCTGAGCTATGGTAAATAATGCTGCAATAAACATAGTTGTGCTGGGAGCTTTAGTATGGTCTTGTTTGTGATCATTTGGGTAAATACCCAAAAGTGGGATTGCTGGGTCATAGGGGAGCTCTATGTGGAGTCTTCTAAAAATAAATTTTAAAAATAATAATATTCAAAGGGGTGACATTGACCAAGACATATTATATTAATAAACTACTTTGTTGAATGGAACTCCTTTGAACAACTAAAGATAATGTTTTTAGGCAAAAAGAAGACTGTCGTCAGTGATGCAGACTGTGTTTGGCTGTTGATGGGTTTGTCCTCGTTTTTTATCTTTGTGTAAATATCCTCTAAGCTAAACACTTGCACTTTGTAGAATCCGTATTAGTAATTCTCAGCGATGGGGAAATGTTTCACTTTTCTCTCTTTATTCCAGGTCGTTGGTGTCGCCCAGGCCATCAACAAGAAATCAGGAAATGGCGGGACATTCACTGAAAAGGATGAAAAGGTACCAAACCTGAGTCTGGCTTTATACCAGTTTAGCAAGATTGCTTTCTTTGTATTATACATGGCCATCTACAATTTGCTCTTGCTGTAACCATCGATCAGGAAAGATGACAGATTTTTTTTTAATGTGTTCAAAATTGTACGTTTGGTTGGGCACCAGTAGCTCACACCTCTAATCCCAGCAACTCAGTAGGCTGAGATCTGAGGATCATGGTTCGAAGCCAGCCCAGGCAGGTTGGTTTTTCGGTTCACAACCAAAAAGCTGCAAGTAGAAATAGGGCTCAAGTGGTAGAGCGCTAGCCTTGAGCAGAAAAGCTCAGGGACAGCTCCCAGGCCTTGAGTTCAAGCCTCACGACCAGCAAAACAAAGAAAAAAAGTGTCTATCTTTGGCTCAGTATGGTATTGGTTTTAGCTGAAAGTATTTGAGTTATTTGGTCAGCATCGCCCTTCCTTACCTCTGTACCTGTGCCCCCCCCCCCCATACCAGCTGTGTACAAATTAGGGCCACATCCTTGGTCTCTGCTGAGGTTTTCACTCTCAATTACCTTCCATTACTGCTAAAAAAGAGGTTCAACCTTGAGTAAAAAACCCCGAGGTGCCTCTCTGAGCTCAGCACTGCAGGTTGGCTAAAAATTGGAATTTCCTCTCCATGAACTAAGTTTCCCAGTGTTTTATAAGCTTTACATGCAGACGGTGGGGCGCCAAGGCGTGAATTCAGAGGGGATGGTGTGAATTTAGCTTCTGAAGCAGCGTTATTTTATTAGGCTTCTCATCCACCTCGGAAAAGGGGGCTGGTTCCTCAGAAGTACATCCTCAAACCCACCGATTACTGCATGAAGTACATGAGTTTTATTATTTCTCTTATTGAATATGTCATTATATGTGAATCACAGCCCACTGTCCTTCTGTTCCAAGGCCATTGCTATTTCAGTTGCTCCTACAAAAATTAGTCAGACCTTTGAATTTGGAAGACGTTCATATGTGATAGTTATTTATAATTTGTTTGCTCATTTGTTTTTCATTTGTTTTTTTGCCAGTCCTGAGGCTTGAACTTGAGGGCCTGGGCACTGTCCCTGAGCTTTATTGCTCAAGTCTAGTGCTCTACTTTTGTGCTCTACAGCTTTACTTTTAGCTTTTTAGTGATTAATTAGAGATTCTCAGCCTGGCTTTGAACCATGATCCTCAGTTCTCAGCCTCCTGAGTAGCTAGGATTACAGGTATGAGCAACTGAGAACTGTGGATAAAGTTATTTTTGTCTCCATATTGGCCATCTGTGTTAGTTCTTAGGTCTTAATTGATTCAGGGAACAACCAGTGGAGATAGTGTCTTGCTGTGTAGCTTAGGTTGGCTTCCAACTCTCTCTCTTTCTGACTCAGTCTCCCAACTGCTGGAATAACAGGTATGTGCCACCCTACCTGCTCACAAGGACCTTTTAAAATCAAGTAACGCATAGCCAATCTTCTGTTTAAATATCTGAGGATGTTTAGAAGAAAAACATAGTTTTTAATTGGATTTTTAAATGTTATGATATTTATGTTTGCTATGATAAAGCACCATTGAATCAATTTGCAATTTATAGGCTGTGTAAAGTACAGCTATAGTTGTGGATCGAGGATGCCACTTAGGAAGTTAGAGGTATGGCTCAAGTGGTAGAGTGCCAGCCTTGAGCAAATAAGGCCAAATAAGAGCATGAGACTCTGAGTTGAAGTACTGGTACAAAAAAAAGAATCACACTTAAAGATTTATTTTGGGGCTGGGAATGTGGCTCAATGGTAGAGTGCTTGCCTTGCTTACTTGAGGCCCTGGGTTCCATTCCTCAGCATCACATAAGCAAAAAGAAAAAAGCCAGAAGTGGCGCTGTGGCTCAAGTGGTAGAGTGCTAGCCTTGAGCTGAAGAGCTGAGGATAGCGCCCAGGCCCAGAGTTCAGGCCCCACGACCAGATCCCCCCCCCAAAAAAAAACAAGATTTATTTTGATCAGTCATCAGAATGATTGAGGACATATCACCCTAGGAGGGTGATAGATTTCTGTTTAAAAAAAATTTTAATTGATACTTTCAACTTTATGTGACATTTAACTTTTTGCTGTTTTTGCCAATATGCTCTCAACCAATGTGTGCATTTTTGTTTGCTGCAGTACTTTTATATAATCCCAGCATACACCTGAGTTGTAATATCATTTAGAGGTGAAACCAAATTTTGCATAAAGCAAGTTGTAATTTAAATAGCACATAAAGAAAACTTCATCTTAGTTGCTCTTTCTTTTTTTGTTTTTTGTTTTTGCTAATAAATTGATTTCTGTCAGTGCTCATGGCTCACATTTATAATCCTAGCTATTCAAAAGGCTGAGATCTGAGAATCATGGTTTGAAGCTAGCCCAGGCAGACAAATCCATAGGACTTTTATCTCCAAATAACCAACAAAAAAACAGAAGTGGACGTATAGCTCAAGTGTAAAATGCCACTAATGCTAAGTGAGAGCACAAGGCCCTAAGTTCAAGTCCCAGTACAGGCGAAAAAAAAGAAACATTCCTGATATGACATAAAGCGATTGTGTTAGCAAACACTTGCTGTCTGCTAGTTGTCCCATGTAGCTAATAACAGGCTTTCACTTTTTCCTGTTTTATATATGTAAGCATTATGCCCACTTTTGGTCCTCAGCTCCACCCAGACCTGAGCTCCTCCCAGCCCTGGAGTTCCCTCCAGACAGCTGGCCCATCCCTCTCTCCACCCAGACCCACCTGAGCTCCCACCTACCTCACTTCCTACCCCAGACCCTGCTGCTACCTAGATAGTGGAGGGTGCCATGAGCTCACTCTCTGGGGGAAATCTGGCTCCTCTAATAAACCTTGTAATAATCTTTCTCCTGTGCCTGCCTGCCTCCATGTGGTCCCCTGGGATGGATGTGCATATATATGTATATGTATGTATGTATGTATGACGGTGTCTCACAGTTTAGCCTAGGCTGGCTTAGATCTCACATGGTCCCATCTTACCCAAACAGTCTTTGCCTCTCAATTGCTGGAATTACAGGTGTGCCCAACCTCATATTTGTTGTATTCAGTTGTATTTAGGAAGAAACATCTATCCATCTGGCTCTTAATAGTCACTTCAATTGTAAATATTTTTGAGTGCATTTTATGTTTCAGAGATACTACTAGAAGTCAGGTGCTGGTAGCTCACATCTGTAATCTTAGCTACTCAGGAGGCTAAGATCTGAGGATCTCAGTTCAAAGCCAGCCCAGGCAGGAAAGTCTGTGAGACTGTCATCTCCAATGAATCACCAGAAAACCGGAAGTGGCGCTGTGGCTCAAGTGGTAGAGCACTCGCCTTGAGTTGAAGAGCTGAGGGACAGTGCCCAGGCCCAGGGTTCAGGCTCCACAACCGATCAAAAGAAAAAAAAAGGAAAATACTACTAGAATGTTTTCTGTAGTCTATTTATTTATGCATTTATTTATTTACTTGTTGAGCCCAGAATTTTGCAAGGATGGGCAAGAGATTTATCACAACTACAATACAACCCCAGTTCTTGTCTTTTGTTTTCTGACACAGAGTCTCACAGTACAGCTTAGGCTGGTCTTGAACTCATTGTAGCCCAGGTGAGCTCTGAACTCTGATCCTCCTGCCTCCATCTCTAGGATGCTGGGATCACAGGCTCTCATCCATGATTCTAATTTGAGTCTTGTCTTCTCTGTTTTCCAGGACTTTGCTGCCTATTTGGCATTTTGTGGTATTGTCCTTCATAATGCTCAGCTCTACGAGACATCCCTGCTGGAGAACAAGAGAAATCAGGTGAGGCTGAATACCAAAGAGAGAGGATGTATACGCTTTAAAAAAGACTGTTAAGTGCTTATCCAAGTCATGAATTCAGGTGATTAAAAATTCAAATAGAACAGGTTCAGTCTCTAGATACTGTAGCTCTGTCTTCTGCTTTCAGCATACGACACCATTTGCCTCATCACTGTTTGGCATGATTCTTTGACTTGAGAGGGGAGAATCTGATTTATAGTTCTGAACTTGCCTATGCCATTAACCCTACTTGTTCCATTATATCATTGTTTTAATTTACTAGATGGGGTGCATTTGAGACAGTAAGTGCTGCGTTTAGGTCCTGCTCTGTCAATTGTAGACATCACTCTCAGCTCTATACTTTATCCGATGAACAATGTAGCTTTCCTGTGCTTCCTGTCCTCTCTCTTTCCCCACTACCGCTCCTCAGCCCAGCTTGTCCCATCTGGACTTTTTGTTATTGTTGTTGTTGTTGTTTATTGTTCACATTATTACATACATAATCTTCTATAACCATGATAAACTTTATCAAGATTTGTCCTGGATAATTCTAAAATTAATACAGCCAGACACTGGTAGCTCACACCTGTAATCCTAGCTCCTCAGAAGAATGAGATCTGAAGATGGTTCAAAGCTAGCCTGGGCAAAAACGTCTGGGAGATTCTTATCTCCAATTAACGAGCACAATGCAGTGGATTAAGTGGTAGAACACCAGCCTTAAGTGAAAAAGTTAAGCAAGAGCTCAAGGTCCTGAGTTCAAGCCTCATTATTGGCACAAAATAAGATTAAAAAAATAAATAAAACATACATTGAAAAAATAAAAACAGATGGCTCTGGCCTAAGAATCTGTGTGTGTGTGTGTGTGTGTGTGTGTATATACTTGGTGGTAGCTGGCTAGATAACATAAACTCTCTAGAACCTGTGCAGATCAGTGCATTGCTTAGTTGATCAGTAATTACTTAATAATAAACTGTCACTCTTTCTTGTGTAGGTGCTGCTTGACCTTGCTAGCTTAATCTTCGAAGAACAGCAGTCATTAGAAGTCATCTTGAAGAAGATAGCAGCCACCATTATCTCTTTCATGCAAGTGCAGAAGTGCACCATTTTCATAGTGGATGAAGATTGCTGTGTGAGTATCCAGTATGACTGTTTCAGTTTCAGATAGGCAGAAACTCCTGTGGCTCAAAGCACAGCTTTGAAACCTTAGGTTAGCCTCAGAATTTCTCTCTCAACCCCATCTGCATATACAGATTTATGTAAAGCAGATCGGAGTATGCACTCAATACGGTACATGGGATGTCTGTGTGCTTCTTCTGTCCATAGGTAGACTGCGTTGATGGAGACATACATTGGTATTGCATAGTGATACCCAGGTCCTAGGTTGGCAGATAGATGTAGAGGCCCATCTGTATGCATTAAGTATAAAAAAGTCTTTGCAAGCCTGGGTGGCTCATGCCTGTAATCATAACTACTCAGGAGGCTGAAAACAGGATCAAGGTTTGAAGCGAGCCAGAGCAGGAAAGTCCATGAGATTCTTATCTCCAATAAACTGTCAGTAAAAAAAAAGCTGTTAAGTGGGGCTGTGGCTCAAGTGGTAGAGCACTAGCCTTGAGCAAAAAGAAGCTCAAGGACAGTACATAGACCCTGAGTTTAAGCTCTAGAACTGGCTCAAAAAATAGTAATAATAATTTTAAAATATATTTTCAGCAGAAATTGTTTGGGAGCTGTGTGCCAGTGGCTCATGCCTATCATTGTAGCTACACACACACACACACACACACACACACACACACACACACACGAGAGGGAGAGGGAGAGAGAGAGAGAATGAGAGAATAATTTGGTAGTAGGCATAGCCCAGTAGAGGTTGTTACTATGTAAGTCCTGAATCCTTTGACAATAATGGAAGCTATCCACTGTTCCATTTGTCAGATTTCAGTCTGTTGATTTGTAGCATGAGGAAATGTGTCTGGTGCATGAGGAGGGGTTGAGTGTTCTTATCCAGGGCTGATCACTTACAGACCAGCCAACTGCCTGGAGTTGTTTGCCATTAGAGTCAGACCCCTTGGATAAGCAAGTTTCCTTTATGCAGTCTTGCAACATTTGAGAACATAAGGGCCATTACTTCTGGAACATTTCTCTTAAATGTATTTATTTTCTTTTTACTCTAGACTAGGCTGATTATTGGGGCTTAACCAGCATAGTGGTACTATCCATTTTATAGATCAATTATAATCTTTAAGATATTAAAATTGATATTCTGGGGAAGGGTATTTAGCAGTTTAAATGATGTTTTGTGTGTGTGTGTGTGTGTGTGTGTGTGTGTAAATTTAAATGCTGGTTAGTTGATAAAAGTCTTGAAGAGTTTTCTGTCGTGATTGACTTCTAATCACAGTCCTCTGGATCTCAGCCTCCAAGGGAGCTAGGATTCCATGTATGAGCTCCTGGCACCTGACTAATAGGAAGAGGGTTTTTGTTGTTGTTGTTGTTGTTTTGTTTTTTTGTGTGTCCAGTCGTGGGCCTGAACTCTGAGACTGGGCGCTGTACCTCAGCTCTTCAGCTCAAGGCTAGCGCTCTACCACTTGAGCCACAGCACCACTTCTGGCTTTTTTATTCTGTTTATGTGGTGCTGAGGAATCGAACCCAGGGCCTCATGCATGAAAGGCAAGTGTTCTACCACTGAGACACCTTCCCAGCCCTAGGAAGAATTTTTAATTGAGGGGTTCACACCTCTGAATGGTGTGTCAGGAGGGTTGTGTTCATCAATATAAAATGCTCATTAGTAAGATAAAAAATAAGAATTCTCTGTGCTAAAAAAGGTAATCAGTATTTTAATAAGTATTGTTTCTTTTTTTTTTCCTATCGGTTATAAAATGCTTAGTAGGAGATGATTACAAGATAGCTGGTAGCCTTTGAAAGTTCAGGTCAGAATTCATTAATGCCAACTTATCATTTTTGCTCTGTGACCTACCCCTTAGCATTTAATTTTTGAAAGTTATACATATAACACTCCTTTAGAAAACAACTTAAATATCACTTCAATTAACTTTCAGTGCCAGCTGCTACAGGCTAACAACATGGTGGCAAACTAATTTAGAACAGTGGCCCTTTGAACCACAACGCAGCAGTATGACTGGGTATATTTTGCTCACTTTTTCACAACTCAGGTTGGAGAGTTGGCAAAGGGAATTAGTTGATTTGATGTTCATTTATATTACAATTATTTGATGATCAAATATCTGAATGTCCAGGCACCCGTGGCTCATGCCTATAATCCTAGCTACTTAGGAGGCTCAGGGTTGGAGGATTGCAATTCAAGGCAAGCCCAGACAGAAAAATGTCAGAGACACCATGTCCAGCAAAAAGGATTGGAGGCGTGGCTCAAGTGGTAGAGCACCAGCCTATTAAGCTCAGTGCCCTGATTTCAGTACAGTAAAAAGAAACAAAAATTGAATAAAAACAGGAACAAAATCTTTCCAAAATTTACTCAATTCTTCCACTTTCAATTTATACAAGCATTGTCTTCTTTCTGTGTTTCCTTTTAATTCTTTTTTTTTTTGGTTGTCAATAGAGTATGTGTGCAAATGTATATTTTGTTTTTTAGTGTAGTTTCAGAAGTGTTTCTCTGTGTCAATTAAGTCCTTACATTTCTTTTAATAATCTCATGAAATATTACTGAATAATGCATCTCTTTGAGAAGGTATCTGGGATTTAATAGCAACAGTTAATATATGTTAAAAAGGCTAAACATAGTAGGGAGCTGGTGGCTTATACCTGTAATCCTAGCTATTCAGGAGGCTGAGATCTGAGGATCCTGGTTTGAAGCGAGCCCAGACAGATAAATCTAATAAGAGACTCTTATTTCCCATTAGACAACAGGAGGCCAAAATTGGAAGCATGGCTCAAGTGGTAGAGTGCCAGCCTTGAGCACCAAAGCTCAAGGACCGTACCCAAGCCCTTAGTTCAGGCCCCAACAGGAGCAAATAAATAATTGCCCAAATGTGTTTTTAAAAAATACTCAGAAGTTTTCAAGGCAATAGATTAATACTTGGTAATAAAAAAAAATAAGCCAAGTAGTACTAAAACTATATATTTCCAAGTAGAATGAGAAGTAATATGAACAAATCTCTAATACCGGGAATGAGCTGGGAGGATCTTATGAAATGAATATTGGGTCAGGTTGATTTGAGAGGAAGTAAAAATAGATTACAGGGTTGCTGTCCTTAGTCAATTATCTGACCTGTATGTGTGTGTACAGAGTTTTATTACCTTATCAAACCTATTTCTCATTCTTGTCTCTCTTCTAGGATTCTTTTTCTAGTGTGTTTCACATGGAATGTGAGGAATTAGAAAAATCATCAGATAATTTAACAAGGTAAAGCAACTTCTCTGGCTTCATCTTGTCTTTATCAGTGCATTACACTGGCTAAATCATTATCAGATCATTATTAGATTTATGTATGAGAGAAATAAAATCACAGCCTACTTTTCTCCCCCACAAGTGATTTTTGTTTGTCAAAATAAAATTAGATGTAAAAGTTGCAGGATTTTTTTCCACTTGACCTACCAGAGAATTCTTTTCCATAGTAAATCATGTTACATTAATTACAGCAGAGCAGGTTTTGGTGTGGTATTTGTGTGAATCAATGAGCTCATTTAAGACCCACAAGTACTATATGTTTTCATTATAGTTTTCATTTGCATATTTGACCGCTACTGGAAATCTCATAGATTGCTGAGCAAAACTTTTCTGCCATTCTCTTCTGATAGACCTAGAATCACCCATGAGGACTTAGTTACAGTTTTGATCATACCCATGTACAAAGTATATTCCCAGATGGAGAGAATCAAGCCAGATCACAATCTAGTTCTCTTAATTATTTTCATTGTTTTATATGTGTGTTCGTTTCCCTGTTGGCAGCTATATAGATCTGTATCTACATATAAAGCATACTTACATGATACAGAGGCTGCAGTCTCAATTTTATGTGGTTGGCTTTTTTTTTTTTGAAGAATTTTAAAAGAGATTAAAGGTAAACAACCTTACTCATATTTCTTCATTTACCTGTAGCAAAAAATTAGTGCCCAGCACTAGCAACTCAAGCCTGTACTAAAGAGACTGAGACTGTGAATTGAGGTTCAAAACCATCCTGGGAAAGAAAATCTGTTAGACTCTTTATCTTTAATTAACTAGCACAAAGCTGAAAGTAGAGATATGGCTCAAGTGGTAGAGCACCAGCTTCAAGTGAAGAAGCCAAGGGAGAGTTCAAGGCCCTGAGTTCAAGCCCCAGTAATGACATGCACACACACACACACACACACACACACACAAGTATTGCTGACTAAAAGGATAGGATCTCCTAAGGAGATAAGGTGTCAGAAATTGTTGGGTGTAATGCTGTGCATCGTATTACTCAGTCCATTGTTAAAAACCATCTTACCCCTCAATATATCTGACATACCCCAAGCTTCCTGTGGAAATAGAATATTATTTTAAGTTTACTTTTGATATTAAAGTTCAAGGCTTTTTTTAGCATAGTGGACTTAGTGAATGAATGGTAAATAACTTCTATGCACATCTCAACTATAAGACATTCTGCCAGATAAATGGAGCATTATTAATATATTATATTAGTATATATTAACATATAATATACTAACATATTATAATATATAATTAGCTGACATTTGTTGTGCAGAGGAGGATTTCCTTGTTACATTTCCATCCGTGTTGACACTATGTTCAGTCAGTCTCATGCCCTCTATCACTCCTCTTCTCTTCCTTCCCCATCTTGTTGCTGTGTGTGTGCATGTGTGTGCTCGCCCACACATACACGTGCATGCACACGCACAAGTACTGGGGTTTGAACTCAGGAACTCATGTTCTCACTAGGATTTTCACTCAGGCTGGTACTCTGCCACTTAAACCACAACTCCACTGCCGCCTTTTTGCTAGTTGATTGTAGATAAGAGTCTCCCATATTTGTCTAAGATTGGCTTCTAACCTTGATCCTCAGATCTCAGCCTATGGAGAAGCTTGGATACAGACATGAGCTACCTGACCTTTTTTTCCTTTTTTTGTGGGGGGGTTGCTATATATAAACAGTCATTTATATAGATATAAAAATTATAAATATATGTATAAACATGCACATATATAAATCTCTATTTACTTTTACACCATAGGACAATAGGAAAATTTGTGTAATATTCACTAAAAGTATAAAATGATAAGTTATATACATTTATCTTTGCTATTTATGGAAGTACATATGTGTATAGTTGTGTTTTATGCATTGGATTTTTATTTTTATTACAAGTTAAACCAGGTCTTCTGATTTCTGGTGGTTGTTGAAAACCCAGTGACTTGGTGTGTTATAGTGACCTCTACTGGTGAACACACTTTTTTCTTTTTTTTTTTAAACAACAAAAAACAAAGACTTGGCTAGTTTCTGCTGAAAATCACACTCTTTTGTGTAGGCTAAGTGGAAGTTATCTTCTCCATTTTTTTCATCATTCCAAGTCAGTGCAAGTATAAAAATATTTTTATAAAAGCCAAATATATTAGAGTGACTATCTTAAAAGAGACTAATTTTAACTGATTGATTAGTTGATTTTATACTAATAAAAATCATTTTGTATAACTGCCTTGTGTTGACTAGGTATTTTAAAGTGAGACTTTGTTTCTAATGATGCAATAAAAGACTTTAGTCATACAATAAAATTTCATTAAGATTAATTTCTAATAAAGATTACATAATGGTTCTAATTTTATAAACACTGACCTAAAAACATTGTTCAGTAACTTAAATCTTTTGAGAAAGGGTGACCTGATATGGATAGTTACTATTCTTTAGGTTTCTGAAACTGATTAGTGATAGAGCACAGTGCCCTTCAGTTTTCATTATTGAACATTTTGTCAGTCTAAGCCTCTTCCATGAGATGAAGCATGGTTGGGTAATAAGATGGTGTGGGCAGTAAATCGTGTGTGTGTGTGTGTGTGTGTGTGTGTGTGTGTGTGTGTGCGTGTGCGTGTGCGCGCGCGCGTACGCATGCACGCACCTAAGCCAGTACTGGGGCTTGAACTCAGGGCCTGGGCCTAGGCATTGTTCCTGAGCTTTTTCTCTCAGGCTGGCACTCTACCACTTGACCCACAGGTCTGTTCTCATCTGTTGGCTGCTTAATTGGAGATAAGAGTATCAGATGTTCTTACGGGCTGCCTTTGAACCACAATCTTCAGCTCTCAGCCTCCTGAATTGCTAGGATTACAAACATGAGACACTAGTGTACAGCTGTCTTTTTTTTTTTTTTTCCAATTCGTAGGGCCTGAGCTCTGGGCCTGGGCGCTGTCCCTCAGCTCTTCAGCTCCAGGCTAGTGCTCTACCACTTGAGCCATAGCACCACTCCTGGCTTTTTCTGCTTATGTGGTGCTGAGGAATCGAACCCAGGGCCTCATATATGCAAAGCAAACACTCTACCACTGAGCCACCTTCCTAGCCCTGTAAGTCATTTTTTATAGGTAGTTTTTAATCAGTTGAAAGTGATTGTTCCTTGAGGATTTTTCTAACCTATCCACTGGATAATTACCTTTTTACAACTTGACATGATACACTGACCACAGCTTGGAAATGTTAAGTTAAAACTTGAGTAATATACCAGGTAAACATTAGACTCGTACTCTAAGTGGAATAAAGTGTAGTACACTGTAGAGGTTGGGTTACTGCCAAGCGATTCCTAACACAACTGATTTCCTTGTGGCAGGCTTTTAATTTTCTGGGCTACCATTCAGAGAACCACCCAATGAGAGAAGAAATGAATGTGATGGAAGAAATGAATGAGAAGAGAGGCATGAATGTGATTTGTACAGTTCGTGTAGCCTTTTATTTTTGGAAAAATAGATATTTTAAAGCCCTCAATTCATACTTGTTACTTTTTTATTTGAATTATAAAACGCTAAGTACATAGGATTAATCTTTCAAAATCACAAGCTTGAGCCACAGTTCTGCTTTTGGCCTTTTTGGTGGTAAAGTGGAGATAAGAGTCTCATGGACTTTCCTGACCAGGCTGGCTTTGAACCATGATGCGTGTTTTCTCAAAGCACAGAAGGGACTCATATCTGGTTATTCCCCCCACAGAGAGCGAGATGCAAACAGAATCAATTATATGTATGCGCAATATGTCAAAAACACCATGGAACCACTTAACATCCCAGATGTCAGCAAGGATACTCGCTTTCCCTGGACAGTAAGTAACCTGATTTGAGACCAGGAGGCCATTTTCCCTACAGGCCTCTCATTACAGCTGTTCTCCAGCATGAAGCCTGGCCCAGCAACATGAAGCACCCCTCTGGCTTGAGTTTATGTCATTGCCAGTCTACCATAGCTAGCTCTGGGGGGACATGCACATCCATTTTGCCTGACTGTAAACAATGAAGGCCTGCATCTCAGACCTTGGAAACAGAATTCCAGTATCTTTTCTCATTTCGCTTCAGAAACAAAAAAGCTTTGAGGCAGCTGCCCTGATTCTTTGACTTACACATCTGGGATATCTTATTTAAGGTTTTGTGGTATGGGCATTGGGCACAGTGGTATATATAATAGATTGACCAGGAAAAAAAAGAAAAAGTCAGGCACTGATAGCTCCTGCCTGTAATCCTACCTGCTTAGGAAGCTGACATCTGAGGACTGTAATTCAAAGCCAACTTGGGCATGAAAGTCCGTGAGACTCTTATTTCCAATTATCAAAAAGCTCCAAGTGGTAGAGTACTAGCCTTAAACATAAAAGCTCAGGGACAGCACCCAGGCTCAAAGTTCAAACTCCAGTGCATGCGTGTGCGCGCACACACACACACACACACACACACACACACATGAATGATGATGGATTGGTATGTCGTTTCACACATGGTACAGGGCTTTCAGAATCTGCATATTTTCCACATGGAGATGCCTACTTTGCTAGTATGGCAGATATCAAAGAAATATTTGGCTTACTATTGTTGTGAACTCTTTGGAAATTTTAAAGTAAAAGAAAAAAATCTGGAATTTTTTAAGCTTTTTTAGTGGTCTACAGAACTTATTGATATATTATTCTTAGATAAAATTGACTGCTTTTTAGGGGCTGGGAAGGTGGCTCCGTGGTAGAGCGCTTGCCTTGCATGCCTGAGGCCCTGGGTTCGATTCCTCAGCACCACATAAACAAAAAGAAAAAAGCCGGAAGTGGTGCTGTGGCTCAAGTGGTAGAGCGCTAGCCTTGAGCTGAAGAGCTGAGGGACAGCGCCCAGGCCCCGAGTTCAAGCCCCACAACCGGACCCAAAAAAAAAAAATTGACTGCTTTTTATTACTTCTGCAAACTTCATTCTAATTTTTTACATGTTTCAATTTTGTCTCCAGCTTCTAAAAGATGAATATAGCCGAGTTTCAGTGGCTTACACCTGTAATCTTAGCTAGCCAGGATGCTGAGATCTGAGGATCTGGGTTTAAAGCCAGCCAGGGTAGAAAAGTTTGAAAGACTCTTGTCTCCAACTCATCAGGAAATTGTCAGCTAGCGTGTGGCTGTAAGTGGTTAAGCACCAACTGTGGCTGAAAAAACTAAGCAAAAGCACAAAAGCCACTTCATTCAAGCCACTGAACCAGGACATAATCAATATATTCATGATTTCAAATATTCTATATCAGTAATATGACATCTAATGGGAAAAAATCAGTCTTTATCATTTGTGCTTTTTTGTTTTGTTTTTGTTTAGAATGAAACCACGGGAAGTGTAAACCAGCAGTGCATTAGAAGTTTGCTTTGTACACCTATAAAAAATGGAAAGAAGAATAAAGTCATAGGTAAAGCTTTTCCGTGGACTTGTTTTTGAAAATCATATTTCCAGCTGCTTCTTTCTTTTCAGGATACATTTAAAGGTTCAGATGTCCGGGGTTGGGGGGGGAATAGAAAAATAGGAGCAATAAAAGAATTTGGAAATTATTTTATGTTGATAAATGCTAATGGGCATTTGCATCTGATATCTTATTAACTGTCATGTATTTTTTCAATCATTATAACCCAGTATCATCACCTTTCCTCCTAGTGGTGTGGTTGAAAGTTTTTAGACCAAGTGAGTGATACCTAGATGTTAATGTGTTAATTTTCTTAGAGCCTTACTTCCTACTCTTCATTGGTTTCAGTAGAAGTTCAGATTGTAGGTTATATTACATATTTATTCAATAAGTAGTTACTGAGTACTGTTTTAAGTTCTTGTGATAAATCAGCAAGCAAAGAAGAAATTGCTGCCCTGCAACTCTTATATACCTCTGTGAAGGTTACAGAAAACCTCTACTTCAGCCATAGCAGAAGAGTGCATTCTTCAAAAACTGGAGCGATATTTCCTATCGCCAATGTTTGTATTTCTTGCAACTATAGGCTATATTAGAAGCAAAGAAAAAAAACATGTGACTTGATACGCTATTTCTTCATGATTGATATTGAGAAAGTAGGTTGAATTTTAATATTCTCCCAAAACCCTGACAGAAAGAAGGTATGAATTCTTTCTGAAGATAAGCTTTTGAAACTGGGTACTGGTGGCTCACACCTGCAATCCTAACTATTCAAAAAGCTGAGCTCTGAAGATTAAAGTATAATCACCCGAAAACCCAAAGTAGAGCTGTGGCTCAAAGTGGTAAAGCCCTAGACTTTGGTGAAAAAGCTCAGGAACAATGGTCAGGCCTGCAGGCTTCCATAACAAACCAAATAAAAAAAAAGCTTTAAAATTAAGGCCCTAAAACCCTAATGGAACTACTCTTAGATATATAAATTTTCCTTACAAAACTTCAGGTTAGCCAGGCGCCTATGGCTTATACCTATAATCCTCACAAATCTGGAGACTAAGATCTGAGGATTGTGGTTCAAATCCAGCACAAGCAAGAAAGTCCGTGAGGTTCTTATCTCCAATTAACCACCAGAAAACCAGAAATGGAGGTATGGCTCAAGTGGTAGAGTACTAACCTTGAGCAAAAAAGCATAGGGACAGCACCCAGGTCCAGAGTTCAAGACCCAGGACCAGCACACACACACACACACACACACACACACACACACACACACATTTTCTTCAGGTAGTAACATATGACTCTATCTCTTTTTAAAGGAGAGTATCAAGCAGAGGAAGGGAATAGCAGTATTATTCATGAAAACAACAAAATATCCACAAATATTGAAAGTACATCTTGAAGTTCTGTCCTGGAATGAGGCCTCTTTTGCATTCAATGTGCAGATGAATGGGGAGAGATTTGTTTCCATGCATGGCGTATTCTGACCATGTGATGCACCAATCTTGGGTGGGGATGGACTTAGTATGTTGTAGCCAATACTATATCAACAGTTTGTCCCTAGGATTCATCCTTCCATCTTTGCAATGGCAGCTTAATGCCATTGAACTTTCCATCAGTCTGCCTTCCCTTCTGATTCCAGGCCAACCAGTCTGACTTTGTTTGTCCTGATTATTTTTTCTCCCTTCTGATTCCAGGCCAACCAGTCTGACTTTGTTTGTCCTGATTATTTTTTCTTTAAAACATAGAATTGCTCATAGGAAGAGAACACACTATTCATGTTCTCTCAGACATCTTGGTTGCTTTGACAGTTGCTTTCTCTTGTAAATCAGTAGACTGAAGTTGAGGCAGCAGGCTGGAGCTGGAGGAACACATACTGTTGTTCCTGGGTCAGACCTGTTTCTTGTACATGAAGACCACTCTGGTTCTCTTAAGTTGCTCCTGTCATTTTCCAGATTGGTCCTCAGCATATTTAACCACTTTGACCTTGAACCTCTTAAGGTCAGATTCTGTCTATGATGATATGCATATTAAAAGTACCTGAGAAACATGCATGTCATCTTCCTGCCAGCCTGTTTGGTCAGCATATACTTCAGAGCTCATAAAATAATAGAGGCTAATGAATATGTTGGAAGGTGACCACTAATCAGATGACCATAAGCACTAAGAAAAACCTGCAGAGGATGGTGACCAATGTGTTATCAAACCAATAGTTACATTATAAAATTTTTGTAACTTAAGGGACCAAAGAGAAAGCTAAATTATATCATACTTCTTTTTAATACACGTTTTCATATGAATGTGTAAGGATTGACTACAGGCTGCTTTGAACATCTGAAAAATGTGAACTTGAATCCCAGATGTGCTATTTGCTAGTAAGCTGTAAGAAGGAAGACAGAATGGCAACTTGTTAGAACAAGTATGTCACTTTTTCTCAGCAGCGTCTCTTTGCAGTCTAACTGGGAATGGAGAGTGACTAGGGCAAGTGATGCATTGAGCATTCATCCATCGCTTTATAAATGAGAAGTGGTAGGGAGAAATGCAGAGAACCCCCTCCCCCCCCCCCCCAGGAGTTTCCCAGCATGCTGCTGGCTTCACTCCCTTTGATTGATAGAAATCATTGTAGGTACATTACACACCTTGTGGACCTCTCAGGGTTTGAAACAAGTCAACAACAGCAAGAAATAAAATAACATTTGGGGCTGGGGATATAGCCCAGTGGTAGAGCACTTGTCTGGCATGCACAAGGTCCTGGGATTCATTCCTGTCATTGTAAAGAACAATATAGAAGAACATTTGAAATAATCTTATTTCTCTTGGCATACATTTTGTGTCACCCTGCTTGATAACAGAGCCAAAAGTAAGTGAAAGTTTTTGTCACAAAAAAAAAGACAAAAAATCCAGATGTGAGTAGCTCATGCCTATAGTCCATGTTACTCACTCAGGAAGCTGAGATCTGAAGATCTTGGTTTGAAACCAGTTGGAGTAGGAAAGTCTGTGAATCGTATCTCCAATTAACCACCAAAAAGCCAGAAGTGAAGCTGTGACTTAAGTGGTAGAGAATCAGCCTTGAGTGAAAAAGCTCATGAACAGAACAAAGGTCCTGAATTCAAGCCTTAATACTCATCCACACTCTCTCTCTCTTTCTCTCTCTCTCTCTGTCTCATACACACACACACACACACACACACACACACACACACACACTAATACACACACTGTAAATAACAAAACCAAATTATTTCCATGGCATTATTGAGGGGGTGGGGAAGGTGCTTAAGTTGAATTCAAATATGAGCAGGAAAATCTCCAGTGCTCCCCTGCTATTTTGTAAGTGTGACAAAACTAGGAATTTGAACTCTGGGCTATACTCGCATACCCACAGACGCAGCATGGAAAATATCATGTTTGTGGATAATTTGTCTGGCATGTCACAGGGAAGATTCTGCTATTGTGTAATTCTAATAGAGAATCCCCATGTGCAGAAAGATGGCTGAACCCATGTGTTTTCTGTAATCTCCTTCCTTCCCCCCTCATTTTTTCTCATTACTGACATTTCGATGAAATTATAGCCATTACACCAGTACAGGGCCTGTTGGATCATCTAATTTATTCCCTGGGCTATTGTTTCATTTCAACACATGTTATCTTAGGCCTCTGCCTGCTGCATTGTTTCCATGACTTGGCTTCCTATGCTATCAAGGAAAAACGGTTCTCAGTCAGCATTCATTTATTTTCATCAGCTCTCTCTGTCTCTCCATTTATCAGGCTAAATAGGCCTTTTTCCCATTTTGTATTCACCAGAAATTTTGTGTCTGTTTTCCATATTCCAGGGCACATTTTGAAGGAATCAGTCGCAGGAACTAGGCAAAGAAAACTTAGACAGCCTATCTGGAACATTTCCACTTAAATAGTTTAGTAGAAAAAAAAAAAAAAAAGGTGTGGTAGAAGCCAACAACACCTTATTTGACAGAAAAACATTACAGAGAAATATATACTTGTTTCTGATCATCTGTTCTAAATTGCTTCTCTCATTCACATTGTATTTTCTTTTTTTAAAAAAATTATCCTTAAGCTGTTGTATAAAGGGGTTTGGATTCACCATGTCGGTTTGTGAGGAGTGTGGTGCATCTTGATCTTCCGTCATTCTCCCCCACCTCTCCCAACCCTTCTCTCAGGTTACCTGCCTCCATTTTACATGACACTTTCACATTGCACATCAGCTGGGTGTGATAGCACACACCTGTGCATCTCAGCAACTGGGAAAGCTGAGGCAGAATGATTCCAAGTTCAAGGCCAGTGTGGAAAACTTAGCAATAGCCTATGTAAAGTCCTGCATATATAAACCATGCCTAGCATGTTAGAGAACCAGAGTTTAATCTCTAGTTCTACAAAAAGAATAAAGAAAGTGGCAACCAATACTCATTAGAAAGTTGACTTTTTTTTTCTTAGAAGTCATTGAAAAAGTTATATGTAAAGTGGTTTAAGAAAACTTTCACTCAAAGGAAATTCTAACCAAACTAGAGAAGAGATGATAAAACAGAAACACAGAAAAGGAGAAAATAAAATAATTAACAACTGATCTGATTGTGTAGTGGAAAATCCCAAGAGACTCAGCTCAAATGTTTGGTCATCAAGTTTTTAAGGAAAAATAGCTTTAATGTATGCCAACATAAATGTGTTTTAAAATAATGCAAAAAAAAATCCCATCATAGTAACAAGACATAAGTCCCTGGCAATTTTTGCCATCGCTGAGAGAAAACTAAATTGTACTCAGCAACTTAAAATATTGGACAAGTGATTTTTTTTTTTTTGCCAGTCCTAGGGCTTGAACTCAGGTCCTGGGTGCTGTGCTCAAGGTTAGCACTCTACCACCTGAACCACAGTGCCATTTCCAGCTTTTTCTGTGATTCACTGGAGGTAAGAGTTTCATGGACTTTCTTGCCCAGGCTGGCTTCAAACCACCATCTGCAGATCTCAACCTTCTGAGTAGTTATGATTATAGGCATGAGCCACCAGTGGCTGGCTGATATTTTCTAAATGATTAGGAGTCTGTTTTCTGAGATATCAACTCTTTTTGGAAAAGGTTTCTAGCAGTTTTAATACATATCTTCATCACATGGGAAAAGTGATCTACATTTTAACTTTTACATTTATATCTAAACAGTACTTTAAAAATCAGTGCATATTTTTACACGATATAGAATTAGTTAGCCAATACTGAATTATCTTTTCTGAATGTAAAGTGAGGTCAAAATAACATCATTAAAAGTAGGATATATGTATAACAGCACTAGATTGACTTTAAAAAAAAGAAAAAAGTAAATACTCAAATCTAGACTGTACAATTGTGTTATTATAAATATATATATATTAAGGTATATTTCATTGCTTTATAAGTAAATGCTGTTTGTTGAAAGATACCGTTTTATGTATTCCAAGAAAGGAAGAAAAAATATTTTTATTATTAGTTATGACTGTTGTGGTTGTATTCATTTCTCTTTTTTCCTTTTTCGTGTGTGTGTGTGTGCGCGCACACACATTTTTTTTGGGGGGGGGTGTCCGGTCGTGGGGCTTGAACTCTGGGCCTGGGCTCTGTCCCTCAGCTCTTCAGCTCAAGGATAGGCCTCTACCACTTGAGCCACAGTGCCACTTCCAGCTTTTTTCTTTTTGCTTATGTGGTGCTGAGGAATCGAACCCAGGGCCTCAGGCATGCAAGGCAAGCGCTCTACCACTAAGCCACCTTCCCAGCCCAAGCACGCACTTTTTTGTAAGCTGTTTTGCTCAAAGCTGGCAATTGAGCTACATCTCTACTTCTGTGTTGGTTTTTTTTTTTTTAGTGGTTAATTGGAGATGAGTTTCATGGACTTTCCTGCCTGGGCTGGCTTCAGAGTATGATCCTTACATCTCAGCCTCCTGAGTAGCTAGGATTGCAGGTGTGAGTCACCAGTGACCAGCCTAGTAGCTCTTCATGTATTTATTCATTGGACTTTGAGGCAGATTGTAGACATACTTACCTAGAAGACTGCCTGAAATTCACAGGCCCAGGGCCTGTTATTCTTTTCTTGCTAGACATGTAAGAACTCTAATGAAGCAATTTAAAGAACTTTGTTTATGAAAAGAGGCCTACATGTAGAAGATAGACAACTTTCATGAAAAGAAAGGCAAATCCACCGTGGTATGAGAAGAACAGCATGAGTATCACACGCCTCGAGAACATGGGATTTGGGAGACAGCCAGATGCCTATATAAACAGTTCTGTAGTTATAACTGGAGATTCACAAAGGTTAAAGGACATAACCCTTGTCTTCTGCTGTCCTGGGATAGTGTTTTTGAGATAATGAATGCTCACTGCTCATGAGTGCATGACTGTTTCTTACAATGTCCAGATTTATTTTGTTGGCTTTGAAATTTTCCTAGATGATGGAATGGCAAAAGAAAAATAGTCCCGGTGGCACTCATGCAGAGAGAAAAATGAATGTGGATGTCTTTACTCTCTAGACAAATTTTTAAAAATGTAGAGAAAAGGCTAGTCCAGCTTGTTTTGTAGTTTTTTTTTTTTTTAAATAAAGGAGTGATGGCAGTGGTGATAACAGATTAATATGTAGTTATATGTCATCGCAGACTGTATAAAAGCCTTGTATGCTCCAGGAAAAATAGGGAGAAGAGACTGTAATCTTCATGGGAAAGTAGTTTGAGTTAGAGCTGCAGTCCTAAATTTTTTTTCACTAGTTCTTTTTTTTTTTTTTTTTGAGTTCTTATTGTCTGCCAGGAAGTTTATTAACTGAGGAAATAGAACTGGAAGGGGGGAAAACATTTAAATTGCTAATTCCAAAATACTTAACAGTCTGGAAAGAAAAACAGAAGTAAAATTCCATTGTGACCCACCAAAAGGGCAAAGAGGTCCAGGTGTGGTGGTTCATATGTGTAGTCCTAACTACTCAGGAGGCTGATACATGAGGATCAAAGCAACCAGGGCAGGAAAGTCCATGAAACTCTTGCTTCTGTGTGTTATATGAGCTCCCAGACGTCTCAGCTGATTTTCTTGCTTTCTGTATTCTGTGTTTGGAATTGCCTTTATTGTTTATGTTGTTTGTTTTCCACTGCTGATTTCTCAGCAAGGAAAGGCAAGTTTGTGTGACCCAAAATTCTGATGTGCATCAAAATTGTATTCTTGGCACGTGAACAAAAATCCAATTAGTTTCCAAAGGACAAATTGTCTTCAGGGACTCAGTTAATCTAAAATTCACAACCCAGTCTGGAGGAAAATAGCACTCTAGGATTTTTTTTTTTTTAACACCAGCAATGCGCATTGAGGACTCTGTGAAACTATTTCTAGTGTTCATTAGTTCTTTACCTAGCTTCTGTTTGTGGATGATCATTTGATTGTTTGGAGATGCCAGGCATTTCTAAGAGAACCTTGTTAGGCTATGCTTTGAAGGTGAGTATTCAAGCCAATTAGAGCTGTGATCATTCATCGCCACTGAATTTCTTGTATTGTCACAGGAGTTTGCCAGCTTGTTAATAAGGTAGAGGAGAATACTGGCAAGGTTAAGCCTTTCAACCGAAATGATGAACAGTTTCTAGAAGCTTTTGTCATCTTTTGCGGCTTGGGGATCCAGAACACACAGATGTATGAAGCCGTGGAGCGAGCCATGGCCAAGCAAATGGTCACATTGGAGGTAAGAGGAAATTTTGAGGACTCCTCAGTCTGGTTTTTCTTTCCCTCTTTACGTTGTATGTTGTTCTAACCTTCTGTCCTTAGAAAAATCATGTGATCTGCATAATGAGAACTGAGAAAAACAACACTGAGCATCTTCTAGAAACTTGTCAAGGCTCATAGGACCCAAACAAGACTCAAGTTACTGCTTGCCCTGTCAGTTCCCTGCTTTTGTCGTCAGAAAGTAATAGTCAACTGATAACATGGCTTCCTGCTACGGCAGTCTGTCCCTTCCCCATTTCTGAGATCTTTCTAGGCAGACACTTGTAAAAGCAAAAAAACATAAAACAAGAACAAGAATAACTCCTACATTAAAAAAAATGAAAAGTAAGGAAAAGAAATCAATAGAAAGCAGGAATGTTTTTTTTTTAACTACAGATTTCTGGATTCTCATTTCTGAAAATCCTGATTCAATAATCGTTTTGTGGAGAAGCTGGGAACACTGTCTTTGTTGAAATAGAACTCCTAAAATATTTTATTTTATTTACTTTTTAATTTTTTATTGTTATTATAAAAGTGATGTACAAAAGGGTTGTTACATAAGTCAGATAACAAGTACATTTCTTTTCGACAATGTCACGCCTTCCTAACTTTTTATTTTAAAAGTATGATAAACATTTTAAATATAACCCCTACCTTAGTTAACATAATCAGTATATTGTTTAAAAGAAGAACTCAAAATAAACTTTCTGCCAAATTCAATCCAATAGTTATTTCTGGGGTAAGTTATAAATCATGTGTTAGTTGTCTCAACAATGTCAGAATGAAAGTTACAAGGGTTTTCTCTGAAAGTAGGGATGGAATTTGTTTATCAGAAGCACACAGTGAAACTTGCCCAAGGGTTTTCATTGTGTTGATGGAAGCAAAAAGAGAGAGATGACACTCATTGAAGGCTAGTCACCTCTCCAAGAAGTATGAGCGGAATTGCAGTCTAGGTATCTTTCTCTCCATCCACATTCAAGTCTCTTCTTGTCACAGGTTCTGTCCTATCATGCTTCAGCTGCAGAGGAAGAAACAAGAGAGCTCCAGGCTTTGGCAGTAAGTAATTCTTTTCTTTCTTCTTAACACTCAATAACCATCGGGTGCTGGTAGCTCACACTTGTAATCCTAGTTACTAAGATCTGAGGATTATGTTTCAAAACCAACCCCGTGCAGTAAATTTCTGTGAGTCGCATATCCAATTAACCACAAAAAGCCAGGAAATGGTGCTGTGGCTCAAGAGTAGAGCTTTAGCCTTGAACAGAAAAGCTCAGGGATAAAGCCCAGGCCAGGAGTTCAAGCCCCGCAACTGACAAAAAAGAAAATAAAAAACTCCAACTAACTACAACAATACATGCAATGCACAATTTTCTGTGGCCCTAGATACTTTATTAAATGTGGTAAACATTTAGATGGACACTAGTCAAAATACTTAATCAACACTTACTTTCCTTTGAGGGTTCAAAATCACTGATCATACAGGCAACAAGTAACATATATGGACTTTACAAAACATATTATTCTGTATTTTTTCACTCTCTTTTAATCTGTAGGTTAGCTTTGAGTTGCTCAGGAAATAGAGACGATTACTGTCAACCACCAGTGACAATCAATTGTTTTGGTTTTTTTTGAACCAGTACTTGATTCAGAATTGAGAGGAATTTTAATTTCAGATCCTATGGTTTTATGGTATACAGTTTGAAATTGAGTTCATGTGAGGTAAGTTACTGAATTCTCATTGCATGGTTCATTGGCATCACACTAGAGAAAAGCTGGTGGGTTTGTAGGCCAAGGAGCCATGCATTCTCACTCTCCATTGGAATTGCCTGATTGAGACATGTGAAAAGGTTCTTTTTGTATCTCTTTGACTTCAAATTTATTTGAGATGACCAGAGAGGTGACATCCATGTGAAGATGTGACAAGAGCTGTGAATGAATGGAAATTTTGATCAGATTATTGAAATCCTTTTTGTTAATGGACATCACCATTGTAGCCTGTCATATACTAAACTTTTTATGCCTTGACATATATTTCTCATGTTAATTGCTCAACTAGGTAGGCCTCACTGATGACTAGAATGCCAAAGGACATGTTCAAGGTCACACTGCCATGGTGGGGTGGGGATTGAGAGAGAAGCTCACACTCCATTCATTGTAAAGTATTGAGAGTTACAAAGCAGGAAGTAGAAAGAGGACAAGGAAGCATTCTCAGCTGAATCAGGGAAAAGGAAAATGAGTCATTGTTCAGGAGTAGTGCCAGAATCTTTAGGTGATTCTACCTGAATGGTTAGATACCTTTCCTAACCAGCTTCCATTAGAATTGGTTACATTTATTGAGTGTGTTCAGGAATAGTCTTTGAAGTTACAAAGCCACTTTTCAGTTGTTTACAAAGGCATGTAGGTTTAAAATGAGATTCACTTAGCTCTGCACTGGAGGCTCATGCCTATAATTCTAACTACTCAGGAGGCTGAGATCTGAAAAGCATGGTTCAAAGCCAGCCCTGGACAGAAGTCCAGCTGTGGTTCAAGTGGTAGAATGCTAGCCTTGAGCAAAAAAGTGCAAAGACAGCACCCCAGGCCCTGAATTCAAGCCCCAGGACTGATACACACACAATAAGATTCACCGCAAGCATAATGGATCTGTTTATTTAATCTTCCTACAAGGATAGAATTCCCAACTGCACATCACCTATGAACAGCAGACTTTTCAAGAAGGATGTTTTACAGCATGATTAAGTTGTGCTCAAGTTGAAGGCAGGTTTATAAACTTTTTCATGTTCTTATTTTTGATAAATACAAACTAGCAAATAGAGTAATTTTAACAAATTCTCCAAAAGAATCACAAGAATATTAATTCAGGCTTTTTAATTTGAAAATAGTATATACTCTTTTCCCCTTCCTCCCCCTCCCCCACCAAAAACAATCTGAAAACAATTTTCTCAATTGTGCTTATAATTTTAGCAAGAGAAAAACATTCAGGACTGAGAATTGCTGTAATTTGCATTGTTCAAAGCCATCTGTTGTTCCGTTCAGAAAATAGATTTCTGGCAACTGCGTTGAAAAATGTGGGGTCCATCGCTTGTAGGTCAAGTGATTCATTCAAATTGGTTGGAATTTAGCAAATGATTTCAATTTTCATTTCCTATCCACTGAATTAAAATTCCTTGAGTGTCCAACCAAACAGGTGTTTGTATCATCCAGCAATCACTGCCTTTATCCTGTGTCTGATTATCTACATTTAAAGCCTACACTGAAAAGCTGTCAAATGGTTTCTAAACTTTTATTTTTAAAAATTTATTCTTAGGAGAATTACATAATGTATTGATGTATACTAAATCTTTACGCCTGTGTCCAGAAAGTTTGTTGTTCCAAGTTATATCAGAATAATTGATAGGAAATTCAGAATCCTGTTCCTTCTCTGTGTTTTGAGGGTTTTTTTTAAATATTATTTTTAGTCTCACTTTCTTTTGGCTTAAAATTGGATGTAACAGAAGTAGGGCCTTAAAATTAAGCAATTTGCTGTAAACCTTTTATTTACTTTTAGTAAATAAAAGGTTTACAGCAAATTGCTTAATTTTTTAGGGGTATTCAATATAGACCTTTTAACAGTCCTTCATCATAGCTGTGGATAACAAGGCATTCCAGCTGACTTGGGTCTGGTTATTCAGTTGTGGCATTAGTGGCTCACTCTTGTAATTCTAGTCAGGAGTCTGAGATCTGAAGATTGGTTCCAAGACAGCCAGAGCAAACAAATCTGAGGCTAGTAGAGTACCACTTAGATGAAAAAGCTGAGTAACAGCATTCAAGCCCTGAGCTCAAGTCCCAGTACTACCAGTACACACACACACACACACACACACACACACACACACACACACACACACACACATCTTGTGAGTATATTAAAGCAGGGAAGAGAAATCAAGGCATAGTGGTGCACATCTGTAGTGCAGCTACTCAGGAGGTAGGGGGTAGAAGATTGTAATTAAAAACCAGCTCAGAGAAAAAGTTAGGCAGACCACAGCTCAACAAACATACCAGCTATGACATGTGATCCTAGCTAAAGGGATCCTGTGGATGGGGAGATCAAGGTACACAGATAGCCCTGAGCAAAACATCAAGACCCCAGGTAAAGAGTAACTAAAACAGAAAGTACTGGAAGAGTAGCTCAAGTGGTAGAGCATCTGCTTAGCAGACACAGGGCCCTGAATTTAAAACCCAGTATGAGCAGAAGGGAAGAGACAACCATATTCTATAGACTGTGATGTAGCATCTGTGACTTTATTCAAAATCTGGAGCCAGGCTGGTACAGACCAGCCTGTCCTCTGTGGGAGAGGCCCTGAGAAAGAGGGGACCTGTGGGGCCAGAGATCACAGGGACGCCTGCCATGATTTTGTCCTTGCAGTCTTCAGTATCATAAATGAAGCACCTTCTATTAATACTGTTCCTGAAAATACATTTACTTTAAAAAAGGACTATTAAGATTGACGTTTCTTTTCCTTTTGCCATTTATATTGAACAAATATCAAGAAATAAGTGAAACAAAATGCCTTTACAAAACACCAGAGAGTTTGACATTTCATGGGAGAGCAAGTTCAGTAACATCCCTCTTTTCACAAGATTTCTTTTAATGAATAATGTTATGAACAAGTAGCCCTTTCTTAATTGTTAGCTATGAGGGGAAGTTACTTCCAGTTTCCATTCATTCTTATTTTGGTGCTTGAGAGCTGTGATTTCAGACCTGGGGTGGGCAGAGACCGTCTGATAGCAATGTGGGTTTTGTTGTTGTTTGTATAAAGAACACATAATTTAAGAAGAGGGAAATGGATGGACATAGAACAAATCTTATTAAATGAGGTAAGCCAAGCTCAGAAACACAAACAGCACTTGTTTTCTCTCATATGCAGAAGCTACATCTAAAATACACTGGGACATGATAAATTATAGACTCTAGATATTCACACACAGAGACCTATGTGCCTCTGATCATATGAAATAATGTTTATCAGAATGAATTCCAGGAAATGAAAACAGGAGGATTTTTTTCCTTTGGTGTTTTTGTTTCCTTTCTATCTTGTTTGTTCATTTACCTGTCTTTGGGAGGGTAAAAGGAGACCTAGAAGTAGAGGGGCAAAAGGGTGAACAAATCAGCTGTGCTACTCACTAGATACTATGTGGAAAATGAACTATACAACCTGTGGCTGGGGACAGGAGGGAAAAATTGGGAAAATGCAAGGAAAGGAGTGACATTGTCCAAAAAGAAATGTACTCATGACCTGACTTATGTAACTGTAACCCCTCTGTACATCACCTTTATAGTAACAACAACAACAACAACAAAGACACACAATTGGCTACATTTTGTAGTCATGAAGCTAGGTGTATTTATTTTCTGCTGAGGTTACCGGCGACTTTACCACAGGCTAAAAATAAATCTTCTTTATGAGGCCTCCACCAAAAATAAGAAACTCAATAGGTTTTAAAGATCGTTGTATTGGCTTTATCCAAATGTGTTTATTTCTGTGAACACATCCTTTATAGATTGCAAGGAGACCATACGCTTTGTAACTACACTATTTTTTTTTTACTATTTCATTTCTTTGTTGAATTATCAAAAAGATGCCCTCCTTATTTGTGTGCTTAGGGGACACACAATATGTCCGTTCTGGTACAGAAGTGATCTTCATAGGGGAAGCTATGGAAAGGGCTCTCATGTCCTAAGATGTTACGCAGCCCAGATGCAAAAGTAGATGTGGGCTTAGATTTCCTGTTACTGAATGTTAGGGTTCTTTTGTTTTTTGTTTTGTCAGTCGTGGGTCCTGAACTCTGGGCCTGGGCACTGTCCCTCAGCTCTTCAGCTCAAGGCAAGTACTCTACCACTTGAGCTACAGCACCACTTCTAGTTTTCTGGTAGTTAATTAGAGATAAGAGTCCACAGACTTTTCTGTCTAGGCTGGCTTTGAACCATGATGCTCAGATCTCAGCCTCCTGAGTAGCTAGAATTATAGGTGGGAGCCACCAGCACCTGGCCATGTTAGGGTTCTCTGAGGCCTACTACC